TACGCTAATTAAAGCAATAACTATATGAAGTTATAAAGTACATTACATACACTAACTATTTATCATTATATAATACTTCAGACGATCGTCGGCTCCGAGACAAACCGGCTAAAAAATTTTGGTCTCCAAATTAAGTAGTTTAGATACCATCATTTTGCAGTGAAATTCCTAATTTCCCACCATTCTGATGAAATTTGCATTCAGGTTATAATAATTTGCATGTCATGCTTGTTTTAACATATTTTCATGATTTTAAGATCCAATACACAATCATATTAATCGAACAAATTAAAAAAAAAATCAATTTCACATATTTATCTTATTGTAGAATTAGTTTCCATACAAAATCTGCTTGATGGTGTCACAGCTTTGCCAGGTTCTTCTCTAGGGAATGCCACATTGTCATCGATAATGCCTCGAAACTATCACGTTGTGTTTGGAATTGAGGTAGAGAACTTGACGAAATATAAATTAGAAAATTCTGAGACATACTTGACAAGTGGAGAAATTTCAATAACAGCTTCAGACATTCTTCCAGGATATAAAGAGGCAATGGTATATATTATAAGGTTTTGAATTCAATAGAAAATGAAATTTTTGAAATATACAACATAATGCTAATTATGGTATTTCGATTATCATAACTTTTTGCAAATATCGCCAACCCTTATACCGCTACATATATTTCATCCAATAAAATTGAGAATGGAAAATGGGGAGTGTGTCAAAGAGACAACAACCCGACCAAAGAGCAGAAAACAGCCGAAGGCCACCAATGGGTCTTCAACACAGCGAGAAAATCCCGCACCTGGAGGCGGGTTTCTACTGGCCCCTAAACATAATGTGTACTAGCTCAATGAAAATGGGCGTCATACTAAACTCCAAAACAAACAAATGAACTAAAATTAAAAAAACATACGCTTTTTAAATTAAGTCTTGGAGCATGAAAACGAATAAAAGGGATACAATAGATAAAGTAAACGATGTCAAATTCGCCTAAAGTAGCGATATCAAATTCGCCTAAAGTAAACGATATCAAATTGAATTTCGATCATATGATTTATAAACAGTAAATTAATTTTTATTTTAAAATGTATCGTTTGAATCATGACTATAAATTAGGGGTGGGGCTGGAGGGGGAGTGGTACCATAGGGAACTGGCTATCCACCAATAGGGGTACCAAGCTTTTATTAACTTGTTTGCTTGATATTTAAAAAAAAGGATCGAGTTATATAAAATGCACACAAAGTCATCCTTGTTTTTTATAATTTTTGTTACCCACCTTTCAGATAAAAAAAAACCCAAAACTTATGAACAGTATTATTCATTAATAATAAACGAATTATTTTACAGGTGGCAACGAAGAAACCATATTGGCCTGCATTTGGAATATGTGGAATAGTGTCGTGGCTCATCAGTGGTTGTAACCGACGTCTGGTTATTATGTTCACATTACCATGGCCTGCATTTCTAAACTATATAAAGTACACAAATAAACTCTCTGTCGGCATATCCGACGTCGGTATCACAAAACATGATAGAAAATGGCATGCAACAATGAAGAAATTAAATAACAGGTACCCCGGACTTAATTTCAAAACCGAAGAATATGTCAGTTCCGCAAGAGCAGTGAAAGTCGAAGATGATACATTCCAAATGAGTGAAATCATGGGAACAGGTCATCAAATCGAGGCTAAAATTGTTTTTAAACCAAATCGTGTGGAAGATTTGGCACAGAATTTAAAACAAACTGTTTAAATGAGGCAAAGTTTTAAATGAAATTTACATAACTCTTTATGTTATATGATGTATAAATTTTGTCCTAGAATTTTATTTTTACATTTCTGAACATTTTATTCAAAAGTATGTTACAAAACAAATTAGTTTTCTGTAGCATTTAATTGCTTGTGAATTGAAATGGTACAGTGAAAAAAAAAGTAATTGAAATTGTACAAATGTTATACTTGTTGTTATATTTAAACACATAGATGAAGGATATACATCTGTGATACAACAAACCAATGACTAAAGTAAATAAAGGATACCGAGAGGACAACTTTCTAGTCAGTTAAAGTTGGGACTGTTTGCAACCTGAGACTACTATAACATGTTTCAGGACTTTTAACTAGAACACAAATTATTATAAAACTTCATCAATATATATTCGGTCCAATGTGTTATCCAGACTTACTTGAATTGTAATTTTGAAATGACCCATAACAAAAACGCCATAATTCAATATATTTAAACATATAAGCATATGAACAACAACGGTATAAAGAAAGGCTAATACACACTAAAACTATTAAAGTTGATAGTCGATGCTAAACCAAAAGAACGAAAAGCAATTTACTAGTACATGCATGTACATTTAAAAACTTTAAAAGCCCAAAATGAAAGTTTGAATGCAACACACATGTAACAGCTGTAAGTTATTTCTAAATAGACCTGTTGTGCTCATCCGTTCATGCCACATACCATGAGCAATATTCTTATGATTTTTTTTTGCTACTGTATATTCACTGCCACTAGCAATGGTTTTTATCTTAATTAATTTGTTGCGTTTTGTCTGTAACCCCAGCAACAGTCTCAGGTGCGTAGTCTGATTTACAATTTTTAAAAGTCCAAATAAAACTTGATCAGGGTCTCATAAAACTTCAGAATTCAGTGCATAATAGTTATCAAAGATACCAGGATTATAATTTAATACGCCAGACGCGCGTTTCGTCTACATAAGACTCGTCAGTGACGCTCAGATCAAAATAGTTATAAAGCCATTTACAAGTACAAAGTTGAAGAGCATTGAGGACCCAAAATTCCAAAAAGTTGTGCCAAATACGGCTAAGGTAATCTTTTCGTGGGATAAGAAAATCCTTAGTTTTCCGAAAAATTCAAAGTTTTGTAACAGGAAATTTATAAAAATGACCATATAATTGATATTCATGTCAACACCGAAGTGCTGACTACTGGGCTAGTGATACCCTCGGGGACGAAACGTCCACCAGCAGCGGCATCATAAGAGAGACAAAAGATAGCAAAGGGATATTTAAACTCATCAGTCGAAACCCTTATATTTCCAGTGATATTCATTTTATCTTTTAGATTTTTAAAACTGTAATCAGACTGTTCAAGTAGGCATAGAACCTCATTTTTTAAATCAATCAACTCTTGAAGGAGTTTAGAGTTAACGTCGTATTTTTGCTTTACAGCTTAGAAAATGTCATAAAATGAAACGACAGGCGATTCTTCAAGTGATGTTGAAGTCTCCAGATCCATTGAGCTTTTCAAGATAGCAGCGAACCATGTGAACATGTCGACTGTTCAAAATATCGCTGTCGTGCTGAATCACTACTATGGAAATAAAAAAGTATAACAAAAATACCGACTCCAAGATAACATTCAAAAAGGAGACGTCGATTAAAAGTCACAAAATCAAACGTTAGACTTTATCAACCAACGGAACGAAAGGAAAACAACTGTGACGTCGTATTCCTGATCTGGTACAGACTTATTCAGAAGGGATATAGTTACAAAACTGTTGTCAGGTCATTAAAGATGGCATATTTTGGTATTATTATTGATTCACTCATAGGGTCTTTGGATGGGAAATAAAAACATTTATTCTAAAACCAGTTGTTGGCATGATACGGGTTATGTTTTTCTCATATATTTTATGATGGTATGATACTAAACCCCTAACGGGAGGGATTGTGCATGATTTTCATATGATGAAGACTTAATCTTTCAATCAGTTAAATTGAGGTGTGGGGCTGGCATGTCAGTAACTGATAGTAGTCTTTTGTTAATTTATGTATCATTGTCATTTTGTTTATTTTCTTTTGTTACCTATTCTGATATCGGACTCGGACTTCATTTAAACTGAGTTTTACTGTGCGTATTGCTATGTGTTTGTTTATTCTACATTAGCTAGAGGTATAGGGGAGGGTTGAGATCTCACAAAACATGTTTAACCCCGCCGCATTTTTGCGCCTGTCCCACATCAGGAACCTCTAGCCTTTGTTAGTCTTGTATGTGTTTTAATTTTAGTTTATTTATCATATGTTTTGGAGTTTAGTGTGACATCCATTTTCACTGAACTAGAACACATTTTTTATTTAGGGGCCGGCTGAGGCCCACCTCCGGATGCGGCATTTTCTCGCTGTGTTGAAGACCCATTAGTGGCCTTCGGCTGTTTTCTGTTCTTTGGTCGGGTTGTTGTCTCTTTGACACATTCCCCATTTCCATTCTCAATTTTATATCACTTTACCCGGACATTAATCTGACTCCAAGCCAACCAGTCTTTGCTATTACTCCTTAATAGCGCGTGCTTGTTGGAGAAGCAGCAAATACCAATTTTAAAGTCTTTGGTTTGACCCGGCATAGGTTCGAACCCACGACCTCCCGCACTCGAGGTGAACACGCTACCACGAGACCAACGAGGCGGACATATAATGATGAGAACATTCAGGAGAAATTAATTCCATTTACAATTATTTTGGTAATTTAAACAGGGAAAACTCACTTGATTGTATCCTTGGTCAAATGAGGTTGGTAAAGAAAATAAAGGGGTCCCTATATTGCGACCTAGGCTACTTGTGTAGTTTTACACATCAGGAATAACTTGAATAAACATATTTGTTTAAGTAATTAATAAAAGTTAAAAATTGATTTTTTTAAAATATATATATATTTAAATATGAAAAAGAAAAGAAGAAGAATTTGATTTGGTAAATTCCATATTACTTAACTCCAATTAAAAGGTTGTTTAATTTGTTAGAGAAATGCTCTCACTAAGACGCATAGATATTGTCACAGAATATCAATCAGTTTCTGTCAAGTCAATTAGGTGCAATTTAAGTGCACATCACTTCCTGGTCATATGACTATTACCATTGATATACATGTTACGGATGAAATACATCAAACATATGGATTTCATGCCATTGTGTTTGAAATTTAGTCAATACGTTACACTATGAAATGTTTCCGTTATGAAAGTTATGACAAATAATTTTATATTTTAAAGTGCTTCAAAATGTTTTATTTTTATTTTGTTATTTGGAAGTAGATATCATTTGGTTCCATGTTCTCGAAACAGTGAGTACTCTGTAAATAATGCAATCGACATTAAATACCCCATAATTATTATATTTCAAAACGGGGATAACAGCTGACATTATTGAATTTCAAAACTAACTGAAATCTGACTAGATATCGGTTCCAATCTTAATTTGTATATTTTAAATATATGAATATACACATATTGATAATTCTAAGTAAGAAAATGTAGAAGTTTTGAGGCCAGAATAAGTAATAATGCACGTTTCACTTTTATTTTTTGTGTGATAATTTTTTTAATAATCAGTAAATACTGAGCCTGCTCAAATGTGAACATTTGAGTGAAAGAGATGACATTCATAGTATAAAAACCTAATTATTATGTTTCAGATTTTATTTAAAATAGCCATGAGATCATGTTCCGAAGACTTTTGTTTTATCTATTCATACCACTGATTTCTGCGGTGATACAATCCAACAAAAGGAACTGTCCAAAGTTTTGTAAATGTGGATATTATAGACAGAACCGTTATATTTCTACATGTGATGGCAAATTGAATACTACAAAGTTAAATTTTATTCCAAAATTTCCTTCAAAAACAGTTGAAGTTATTTTTGTATATAATCAATTACCAAATTTGTCAAGGAATGCACTCAGCAATCTAACAGATTTAAAACTTATAAATTTAGATTTGCAAGGCAATTCAATCAGGGTTATTAAAAAAGATGCTTTTTCTAAATTCACTTCTCTTAAAAGGCTTGATCTTTCTAGCAACAATATTACGGAAAAAGATGCAATGGACTGTTTTAAAAGTTTACCAAAAGATATACAATGTTTGAGATTAAACCATCTTCTCTGGCATCCATTCGAAGGATTATTTGATGGTTTAGCAAATAGTTCGTTAACAAGGATAGAGTTGAGCCATAGTTACTTAACACCATTTGAAGGAACTTGGTTTTCAGGTCTTAGCCAACTGAAGTCACTGGACATTTCATGGAATTCAATTAAAGATTCAGATTGTAACTTGACTGGACTTTCTAACATACGCGATTTAAACTTGGCTGGCAACTGGTTTAATATCATTCCAGATTTTTGTCAGTTTGGTTTATACAGTATTGCAAATTTACAACTGTCTGAAACAAAGCTATATACCATTAATCATTTAAGAAACTATTCTTCGTGTCTGCAAAATCTTAAGAAGTTACACTTGAGTGGACTTTCAATAAGGATAATACCAACAAACATATTTTCTAATCTCAAATCTTTACAGGACCTTACAATGAAGCAGATGTCTACACAATTTAAAAAGATTCATCAATACGCCTTCAATAGTTCTTCTTTACAAAGTTTAACATTCTGGCGAGCAGACGGTTTTCTGTTTACCTCGAGATCGGTAAATCAAAGACTGTTTCATCCTGATTCATTTTTTGAATACTGTAAAAATATTAAAGAACTTGATTTATCTAATAATAAAATAGATTTGATATCAAATAGAATCAGATCCATGTTCAAACCTCTGAAAAAACTTAGGAAATTATGGATGGAATCAATATCTCTATCATACATGCCGAAATACTTTTTACCGCTATTTCCATTACTGAAATTAATTTCATTCGAGAACAATCGAATTAACCCTTGGAATTATGGCCATTCTGTGTTTAATGGTGTTCGAAATTTGAAGATAGTTAATCTAAGGAGCAATAAGATCGGAATGATTTATGATACATCTTTTCCGCTGGCTCTTTTGAACAACCTGACCACAATAAACCTCATGTTTAATCGGTTTAGCTGCACTTGTGACCTTCAGTGGTTTAGGAATTGGATGAAACATACTCGTGTAAATATTACTGGAAATAATACTTACAAATGTGATACTGGCAAAACGAAGGTAGTTGATTACAATCCAGACTTTATAGAATGCCACATTTTGTCAATTTCCTTATCAATCGGATTTGGCGTCGCTTTAATTTTGATCGTAACTATAACCGGTTATATCTGTCGGTGGCGTTTCCGATTCCAGTTGTACAAACTTCGTTCACTCCGCAAACAGTACAAAGAACTTGTCAACAGAGAGGATTTCGTATATTCTGCGTACGTAGTTTATTGCTACGAAGATTTCACATGGGTAAAAAGAAGCCTCATTCAAGAAATAGAAGAGGAGCAAGGTTATAAGTTATGTATTCCACACAGGGACTTTGAATTAGGAAAAGTATTTGCAGATAACATTGTTGAACATATGCATTTGAGTGAAACAGTAATACTTGTTCTTTCTAATAATTTTGCAAAAAATGAGTGGTGCTTATTTCAGCTTGCTGTTGCTAAAAACAAATTAACTAAACTTGGGAAATTATCCATATTTCTTGTGTTACTCGAAGAAATAGAATTTAAGAACATGAATTCTGCGCTATATCACCTTCTGAAAATGTCAAGCTATGCAGCATGGGACGATGATGACAATGCGCAGAAACTTTTCTGGGATCAAATAAGAGACCACCTTAGTTGAACTGTTGGTGTTTTTATCAAATGGAGTATTTGGGAGTACGAGCTTTCCTGATTCAAGATAAAATAAAATTATTGATGAAATAATAATGCTAAAAATAAAAATGTTTCATAATCCTAAAATACTATCTGAATTCGATTGTAAATAAATGTACACATCTTACATAGTCATTTATCATAGTAGTAATTATATGTGCATGTTTTCAAGAAAATATTATTATATGATATAGGCGAATCCTTCATCTGACCTACGAAATAGTCTGCCGATGGGGTATCTAAGCATTTTGGACGACTGGGGTGCAAAAGAACACATCATTTATAAGTAAGAGAAAAAAAAACTGCTATGCTGAAAATTAGAACTAGAATTTTAATTCTTTCCTTTCTTCCCTGTTATTGAAGTAGTTCAGAGCTCGTCGAAGGTTTTAGGTTAATTTATAGAACTATCTTTTTTCTTTTATTGCATTTAAAACTACTAATTTGGCTTTTCGTGTACACATCGTATGTTGATTAAAGTTATGAATTTTTGTCCTATGGCATTTATTTTATGTATTTTCTGGACAATAACATTTTAATTTCACATGAATATACTCTAACTTGTACCTTAGCCTTGTTTCAAACTTAGTGTTCCGGAGCATCTGACATCACTCCCGGTAATTGTAGAGGTTCGTTTTGCTCAGCCTTTAGTTTTTTATGTAGTGGTTTGTAGCATTGTTTATTTCTTTCGTATTTCGTCATGATTTTGTCGGTTTCTCTTTGGCTTATTAGCTTATTAGTTTTGATTTTTCACTCAGTAACCCACGCATCTTTTCTTTAAATGAACAAATTGGTTTGAATATGTACCAGTGTCAAAAATAGCAGTATAATTATTGTTATTATCATTTATTCAAACAGATGGATTTAATGGACAGGTCTTACCCCAGGTTTTCGATGGGGTTCTTGTTGCTAGATCTTTAGTTTTCTATGTTGTGTTTTGTATGCTGTAACTGTTGTTTGACTTTGTGTCGTTTTGCGTTTTTTGCCATTACATTGCCAGTTTGTTTTCAACGTATGAGTTTCATTATCCATTTATTATCTTTCGCATCTCTTTCAATCAGCTGTTTTATAAATAATATGACCAAAATTTAAGTGAAATACCACTTTTATTAAATTCCTGAAAGAGGAATCATGATTTAACAAGAAATTACCTATATTTTGGGTAAAAGTGATTACCGCTTAGCCTATTAACTTACGCTTTGCCACAATATTTGATATCGATTTCCTTAACAGTTGAAATATAAACTGATGAAATGTTATATATTAAATTTGCACACTAAATTCTGTAAGGTTGCACCTGGTATAGATAGCAAGACTGTCAATATTAGTTTTATATCCAAGTAAGGGAGTCTAACAATATAAAACGATCTTTTTAACATGATAAAATATTGGACTAGGCCAAAATTTTCAGAAAATGACATCATTCTTATTTAAGCAGTTTTTGATTTATAATTGATAATCATGGTCTTTGAGAAAATATTTTAGAACATATGGATGGGATTCATTTTCAATACTCTTATAATTTCTTAAATTTGAGCCATTTTTAAAGATCTTAGAATATCCAATAATTTTATATTTAAAGAAACAAAACATAATAAAAATGATTCTTTACATATAAAAAGCATACTTTTATGGACAGCAGAATATACTGATAGTGATAAACACAATGCCAAAGTTTGAATTCGCCTTTTCAGAATCTAAAGTACTATGGGTAATTTCTTTGTGTTTGTACCCAAAAATATAAATTGCGTCATGTCATTGGTAGAATTTCCATTGTTTATGAAGTTGTTGGCCAATCACAACGTTTTGGTGTACGCTTTTGAAACTATTACCCAAAATACATTATATTCTGAACCTTTGGATTGACCTTAGAACATACAGGAAGTTTAAGCCTTGATTCAAGTTTTAAAACGTGACAGCTTTAATAAGCCACGGAAATCATAGGTTTAAACAAAGAGAGAAAAATAAAAGAGTCTGGAAATGAAAGATAGAATATGTCACAATGCAATATCGGATAAGGTTCACTTTTATTGGAGTGTATTTGTCTTCATAATTTGATTAATAAATACTTCAGCAAAAATGTTTAAAACTTTGTTATTTGTAATCTGATTATATAATCAACCAGTTATTTATTTATGAAGATAAAATATAGAATTTTTTTAACTTTAAATTTCAAGCTTTATCTGATAAGCAATTGGAAAGATTAAGTAATATGCAAACTTTATTGATGTTCTCTTTAAAAAAAAGAAGATGTGGTATGAGTGCCAATGGAACTCTCCACCAAAGACCAATTGACGTAGAAGTTTAAACCAAATAACTTATTTTACAACCATCCAGTACTACATTTGAGTAGATGTTGTCTCCCCTTTACTATGCAGATGCGATAAAAAAAACCACATTATTATCTCTCTTTTTTGTGTGCAGTGGTCAACATAAAAATCATGTATTGTTAATTTAGCAACTTGTTTATTTGGGTATGAATTCCTTAAACTGCTCTAATCAGGACACCATAATTTTGCTATTAAAATATGTATTTCTCTATGTCTATCTGTGTCTATGTAAGAGCACTAGTCAGAAGAACTAATATTTATAGTTGAATATTTACTGGATGCAGGTACAGTACACTAAAGAGGTAGTCGTTTGTTGCTGTTTCTCATACCGGTATTTGTTTTTCTTTTCTTGTTTTGAAAGGCTTGATCTTGTGTAGTACCATTGCACCACTAATCCAAGGTTATGGGAGGGTTGGCGCGAACAAACTGTTTAACCCCGCCACATTCTATATGTAACTGTCCCAAGTCCGGAGCCTGTAATTCAGTGGTTGTCTACTATTGCTGTATATCATATTTGTTTTTCGTTCATTATTTTGTACATAAATCAGCCCGTTAGTTTTCTCGTTTGAATTTTTGTCATTTCGGGGCCTTTTATAGCAGACTATGCGGTATGGGTTTTACTCATTGTTGAAGGCCGTACGGTGATCTATAGTTGTTAATGTCTGTGTCATTTGGTCTTTTGTGGAGAGTTGTCTCATTGGCAATCATACCACATCTTCTTATTTTTATATGTCAAATTTTCTTTGAATTTATTTCACTTATATGGTCAAAATCTGAAGTCGTTAAAACCTACATTGGAACTGGTATATGAAAATAGTCTAAATAATGCACATTTATTTAGTAACATTAACTATTTATGCACCAGAGCATATAAACAAAAAGGACGAAAAGTATAGCCAAAGCAGTTCAAGGAATCAGTGCTTTGCATGAGGGAGATATTATATTCCTTAATTCAAAATAATTTCCAAGATTTTGTAAAAGCTAATTTCAATTACACAATACCTTATGCCAGTACGAAAGTACTGATTACTGACTTACATACAACCAGCAGAGATATCGTTCGATCCAGTGGTAGAAATAACATCAACGGTACGAATTTTTTCTACACCAGATGCACATTTCGACAATTAATGTCTCTTTAGTGATGCTCGAGGCCAAAATGTTTGAAAATGCAAAAAAATGCAGAGCTTATAAACCAAAAAGGACAAAAAGTATAACCATAGTCGGGCAAGGAATCGGAGTTTTGCATGAGGGAGATATATTCCTTAATCTTAAATAATTTCTAAAATTTTAAATAATTTCTAAAATTTTAAATAATTTCTAAAATTTTGAATAATTTCTAAAATTTTGTAACAGCAAATTTCAGTAGCACAATATCTGTATTATCGTGCCAGTGTATACTGGACTGGTGATTACCCTCGGGGGCTAACTGCCCATCATCACAGGTATCGCCAACAAGTACATAATTATACAATCAAATTTTTTTTCACAATTTTGCATATTTTTTGGATATGCCTTTTGTAAAATGTCACAAGGAAGGAAATCCTCAACTATTATGAAATAATTTGTAACAGATATGTTTAGTTGGTTCAGAATTTCTTCCTTTTAAATTTTTCGATAATTACTTTTGAGCTAGAAATTCATAATTATGCTGTATAAACGTCAACATTTACACATGACGCTGTCAAGCTAAGACATTAAGTAAGGTTGGACTACTTGGTGTGAAATTAATTCCGGAAAAATAGGTTCTATCACTTTCTATTTTTTGTGTGCAATTCAAGACGCCACTTTATAGTAGACACCTTTCCGGTGTCCAATAGTAACTTTCAATGCATTCGTTGTATCTGTTCATATACAGTATTGGCTGCAGTAGAAGTAGGCAGTATGACCTTATTGGAATTTGTAACCTCAATATACATGATATAAAAATAAACGATATTGTTGGCTGCTTCATTAGTTAATACAAACACAAAATTCCAAGAATGTTTCATTTGGTTTTTTTCAATTTTGCATTGTTCTAGTGAAACAAATTTTATACAAATACTTTCATAATGTTTAATACGATAATCTACCATTATATTTTTTTAGAAAGAATCCAATTGTTTTTTTTATTGTTTTTTTTTCTTTTGCATCAATATTTGCTGTAATAAAACCAATGAATGTTTAAATATTTTAACCAATTACAGCTTCAATTATAAAACGTGGTATTCAGTAGTTGTCGTTGTTTCATGTCTGTCTTATTTGTTTTTCGTAAACTGTATTGTTATCAAATAGGTACCGTTGTAACAATCAGAGTTTTCTTTGAACAATTATTGAAAGATTTTTTTATAGTGACAACCGTCAAAGAGAAATTTGATTAAAAACATTGACGGATTTTGAATGAATAGAATCACGCCTTATTTTTTCTTGAAACTTTGGTGAACTTTTACGGAATTAGCAAATCATAGTGTAGTTAAAAATGGTGCAGTTTTTGTTTACAAAACAAAACAACACTGCAGAATTGTCGCGTCTTTTAAGAAGATTATTGAAGGTACTTCTTTGTTTTCCCTAGCGACAGGAGTTTTGTCCGTTTTTTCTTAACAATTGCACGATTTCTCATTCGCCTTCTCAAAATGTTAGTACACAGAATACACAGTGAACGTGCAATGCAGTCATTCTATGAATAGTTTATTGTAGCCATTTTCACTTTGTAATCGTTCTACTGAACTCCCAGAATTTCTTCACCCTTGTTTTTAATGAAAAACTTTGATAGTGACAACAGATGACGTTGACAAAGTTTTTGATGGAATACTTTGATAGTGACAATATACTTTCCTCGTTTGAGTCGTTTCACATTTTTCATGTCTGGGCCCTTTTCTTCGTCATTGGAACTCTGGTGGATAGTAGTCTCACTGGCAATCATACCACATCTACTCATTTTTGTTTTGAAGAGTCAAACTGTTATTGTCACTTTTTGGCTTTGTTTTTTTTTCTCCAGATGTAACGGAAGATTCAACATAACACGTACCCGTATTTATTTCCTGTTGGTTTTTTCTTAAATTATTAAAATATAGCGACAAAATATATATCCGTTTCAAATATTGTTATTTTTAAAAATCTATTCAACCAATCATATTCTAATCATTAGTTACTACATGTATCATCTAATATATAAGCAATCATTCAATT